GTTTCTTATAATTTTGATATTAGAAATTTAGTGTAAAGCTAAAGCAAATGCAAGACTCAGATAGCTCTCAAAAATAACATTTAGAGTGAAATAATACATTTATGTGTGTTTCTGATGCTGTAGACAAAGCATGATATATGCATTTTAATAAAAAGAAATGACTCTAAATGTACTCAAAGCCGTTCATTTTTTTATTTACTTAACAATTACAAATAAACAGTCATGTTTGATCACACATAGAAATGTATATTTAATTGTCACAGATGAATAACAGATGAATAAAAGAAGTAAAACCTAAATGAAAAGATCTACTGAACTTACAGTCATTTGTTATACAGGCCTAAACTGGCCACTATTTAATAAATAAAACTGTATAAAATAGTCATAAAATTATGTAAAAGTTTGCACTAAATCATCCTCAGAAGACATTTCATTCCCGCCTGCTCTCCACATCAGTGATCCCTTAAAATAAAGGTCATCATTTTATGAGATTCACATTCAGACCGAACTTTTGTTACTATCATCACAGTAATTTACGTATAAAAATATTCTTACCGTGCAGATGCTCTTCTTAGTGATGTATCTTTAGACATATTAAAGCATTAAACACGTGATTAAAGCTATGATGGTTAATGTTTTAATCAGATTTATAGGAAAAGACTTGCCTGATCTCTCCTGTTCACTGTCAAGCACCTGCTTTCTGATGATGTAGAGTTTGATTAGCAGAAAGCAGATGGAAAGGAAAAGGCCAATTCCTGCTCCTATGACAGCATATTTGATTTCTGAGACTCAGGAAAGAAGCATGATGTAAATAGGACGGTTATCAGCTCTGAATGGGTTTTGTAGGGTTTGGATTGTGTGTTTGTACCTGGTTCATCACTGGAAGAGTCTTGTGCCTTTACCTGCGCCACCAACAAACTATCTGTAAGATATCAGTCAAAACTCATCAGATTATTATATCATGTAATTTAATCAGTTCTGTGTTAATTTATTAATCTTTATGTTAATTGTACTAATACATTATATAAAAAAAAATAACAGTTATAAAAGTTGTATCTCTTAATATTATTTAATGGACTTGAGCTTACATGAACTCACAACAGCTGTTTACATCCACCTACAGTATTTTTTTGCGAATTTTGGGATATTGCATAAAAAAAAATAAAAAGCTGGATGGAAAAGCCAAGATGTGCATACATTCTAAAAATTTGAATTCTAAAAATAGATCTTCAAAAAAAAAAAAAGTATATAGTAAATGCTGCTCCATCTGAAAACAGGTGATGATGATTTCCTGCTGATTACAGAACCGGCTTTACTAACAAAATGCGCATGACAATCGCATTCGATTAATCGTGCAGCCCTAATATATAGTATATTTTTTTATTTTTAAGATTATTGTGATTTCTGTAAAGTTTACATTGCATAAACTACTATGGAAAAACGTTTACCAAATAAATTCCTCAATGAACATCACAAAAGTCATGTGACTTACGTTCCCAAACATCGTCCGTCTCCAAACACAACAGAACATGACAATGTTTGTTATTGTTTCATCTGTGCAAATCATTTATTATGTAGGGGGAAAAAAGAGCTGTGAGCTTCCCCATCGTTATTATTAATACTTTGCATCAGTTTCTTTGAAAGTGGCGATTTTATTCTCTTTAACAAATGGAAAATAAACGGTGCTTAATCCGCAGATGTTTTATGCGATATTCTAATTTTGAAGTTAAATTGCCAACTTTGGATGGAAACATAGTTACTGAACAGTTTTATTAACTAATGTTAAAGATAAATAAATCAATTCTGTGTTCATTTTTAATTAATAGTAACTAATGGGACTTCATTGTAAAGTATTACTATGTTTTTTGTCATGTTTTATACACATACAGCCTCAAAATGTTACTGTCTGCTACACTTTAGTTTGTTTTTAGCCTCTTTTCACATATAGGCCTGCTTTTAGCTTCATAACATGTCATTAAATCAGAGTCTCTGATCAGCTTCATGGATCTGAACGAGAAGAAGTGAGATTTATCCATCAAAAGTAATCAATTAATTTCATATTCTTGGTCAAAATGTGCTTCTGTGTCTAACACACTCTTGCATTCAACATGCACACTTTATCAAAAATGGTTCATTGTCATTCAGTCTTTGAGTCTATTTTCTAAAATAATCATTTTATATTTGATGTCACAGCTTCAAATACCAATGCAAACAATAATTTTAGCATCGCAGCTTCCATAAACAATGAAAACGACTTACCGATGGTGAAGATAAAGCAGAAGGCTGAGCAGTATCTTGCATGTTCAGACATTCTTAAGTCTTTTCATGTCTGTCTCTAACATTGCATGTTTTATGCAAACGTGCTGGTGTGCTGTTTTCAAAAATCGAACCATTTCCTGAACACTCACCAAATGATTTCTAGATAAGATGGGCTGATGATAATGCGTGCAGCTCTTCAGTGTGATCTCCATTAGGAGATAATTGTTGCTAAAAGGCAGCATGCCAGTGAATTTTAAACCGCAATGCAAGATTTGGCCATTCTGAAGACGCTTACGGTCATTAAGCATCACTCTTGGTGTTAGTTATTAGGTTAATTCGGGGTCAAAACGCTCCATCAGTCAGTGTTTTGAGACTGACATGCATTGCATGCATCTGAGATCTATTGCACCAATTTGCTTTGACACTAGAGCTCAGTAACTTGGTTATGTGATATCAGAACATTTGTGTTATTGCATGCATGACCAGACCACTGAATCACCCAGATTTGACCGCAACACACATTTGGGGTCTGCGAGATTTAGAAATTAGTACTTTTATTCACCAAGGCAGCATTAAACAGTTGAAACGTGACATTTATAATGTAACAAAAGATTTCGGTTTCAAATAAATGCTGTTCTTTTGAACTTTTTATTCATCTGTGAATCCTGAAAAATAAAATGCATGACCGTTTCCACAAAAAAATATCGTGCAGCACAACTGTTTTCAACATTGATAATAATAATGTTTCTCGAGCAGCAAATCAGCATATTAGAATGATTTCTGAAGATCATGTAACACTGAAGACTGATGCTGAAAATTCAGCGCTGCGTCACAGGAATAAATTACATTTTACAATATATTCACATAGAACACACTTATTTTGAATTGTACTAATATTTAACAATACTGTATTTATGATTAAATAAATGCAGTCTTGGTGAGCAAAACAGACTTCTTTCAAAACATAAAAAATCGTACCGACCCCAAACCTTTGAACGGTATTGCACATTTAATTTCTATAATTCACCCAAAATTGAAAACTAGGACATGCAATATGAGAATATTTGTGCTGTTGACAAGCATGCCAAGACAAGACCCACATCTGACCACAGCACGGCTGCTCAAAATGTCACCGCAGAGATCAAAGAGTTGTTATCGTGTTGCTCTATCTGAGAATAAAGGATCAGCACAGGTTTGAATAGTTTCTAAATTAATATTCTCAGCAGGTTCTTCTAACGCAGCCAAAGGTCACAAACAACAGGGTTTTGCTGGAAGCAATGCATGTCTGCTTTGGACAGACGCTAACAGGTTGCACAACAAACACAGAGCATTAATGGAGCATTGAGAAACCGAGAAACACGCCACCTGGCCTAACAGTTTTCCTTTGATTTCATTTCGATAAACTGTAACCATAGCAACTTCAGCCGCTGGGCCTTCAAATGGACATCTTTGTGTGATTCATATCCATACACAGAAATATTACTCATTTATCTGTTGGGAGGGAAAAATTACAGTATCATTATATTAGGTATTACAATTTGTGGTCTGAATAGTTACAGTAATAATGGGCTTAAACAGGTTCTAGCTTTCAAAGCATTAATCTTTTAAACATCTAATGGGTCTTAGCACTGGTATTAGTGAACGTGTTTTGTGGAGTGTTATTACATAACTGCTATTCATATCACTTCTGAACACTGAGCTTTACAGGCTGATGTTTTATATATACTGTAATATATATAGCCGGACATTCTGGGAGGTTCATACAACATGCCTTACTATGTTTAATACCATTTAAGATTTAAATTAGCAACA